TTAATGGAATAATCTATATTAGTATACTGTATTATATTAATATAATATACTAATATATTATATTTTTAATGTACATTAGTCGACATCTTGTCGACATAATAGGAAAAACTGTATTTTTTTTGGTTATTTGGACTGATTTGGTCAACATTTCCGAAATATAGGAAATGTCGACCACATAATGTAATTTTTATATTACCATCCATTTTCATGTCGGTGAGCCTCGACATCAACATAAGTCGGGCGACATTAGCGACATTTGGCGACATTTGAAACCATGTGGAGGGCACATCATCATGCATCATTCCCCCAATGGCTTGGAAGAATATAACCCCCTTAAGTTGAGAGTTAAATCTTTTTTTTTTTTTATCAGCAAGTTGAGAGTTAAATCTTTTAAACTAGGACTAGGTATGTGGTAGTTATGACCAGGGCATCTGAAACCTTTTGGACAAGTGATCTGGTAATTAAGTAAAATTCTTCCTTTCTTGGAAGAATATAACCTTTAGGACTAGGTATCTCTGGATTCTTTCCTTTCTTGTTCTTGGAGAACAAAAAAAAAGGTTCATGTTATTTTTTCTTCTTTTAGTTTCTTTGGCTTCAAAGTAATTATCTGGTACCGATGCTTAAAGGAGCAAGTATTTACATAACCATCACCCACTACTCAACATTTACATAACCATACAACTTAATAGAACTCTTGTTGGTTATACTGGAAAGACATCATTCCACACCACATCAAAGTAAGATTCCAGTCAAAATCAAACTAAGACTCTTAGTGACTTGTAGATTTCTCCATACATCTTTACAAGTGATATTGTACGGCTAAGGGTGTACTTATTTAAGAAATTTCAACTTATAAGTGTTACACTTGGCGATAATGTTCCCTTAGTTCCCACCATGAATACAAGAGAACAAATATTTCCTGCACAGCAAATTTTTGTCCTAACAATGCACGAACACATCCAATCATCAGTCTCAGGCATAAACAAGGCCAACAAATTGATACACTTTCTGTTTCGAATTTGGATCTTCTCCCTCCTTTCTTAATTTTCACCCTAAAGGCAGGGTTTTTGTTTGGACAGTTTAATGAAAAATGAAAATTGCCACTGCAGGAACACTTTTTGTCCTCTCTCAAAAGATGTTCTTATGCTATGACCTCTTAGCAACATGATGTTGCAAATGTCAGCCATGGTTTCTTCCCTAAGACCCACATCAACACAACTCTCTGGAGTAATATTTGCTTCCAATTTTCCCTGATCTCCAAAGCAGCACAGAAAGCATCCTTTGTTAGATAGATATAACTTAAAAGAAGTCCTGAGAAATTCTATGCTGTCAGGCCTAATTTGCACAGTGGATGGACCTTTACTTCATACTAAACTTAGCATGTTTTTGTCAATTCATAAAATTTATTGTGTACTCTCTGCTCTCAATAGATCCATTTGTTATAATCTCCAAACTGATTAAGTTGCTCACACTCAGCAGTTATGGACCAAATCTCTAGATGCTCCTTCATCTCATCTAATATTCTTAGTTTGCTTCTTTTTTCAATCAACAACATACATTCTTTATCAATCATAAAGATAAACAAACAATGATGCACAGACGAATACAACACGTTACCAAATAAGAGGACCAAAACTCAGTCTTCAGGAAGACTATCCCAACAGATCACAACCTTAAAACACGTGATAGATGTTTTTGTCCCTTCATCTTAGCAGATGTGATTTGTAGCCTCCAACCAGACCGAGAAAAAGTTATAAATTGTACATCTTATTTGAGTCCAAACTCTCCAACTAACCACTTAGTCAACCACATTACAGGGATAACAATCATAAGCTTCCAGGAAAATCAATCTGTAGAATTTCATGGGTCTCATACTTTGGAATACTGAACACCGTGGAGATTCTGGTTAACAATGATTAAATAGAATGAATTTAGGGTTGAACAGGGGATAACTTCCAGATACAAAGATGAAATAACAACAAAATAGTTGTCCGGGAGAATTTGATAAAGGCTCCACTAATGGTCACAATAACTTTTGTAGTAATAGCAATCAACCAACTAATCTGATTGACATGGAATTGTATACTAACAAACAGCCTTTTATACAGAAATGACTCTAAGGGGCAGTTTCAAAAGCAACCTTTGTTGGACTGATAGTCCTTTACATCTTAAAGAAAATTGATACTAACTAGTTAGCATTAAAAGTCTTTCACAGTAGTTCCATCACAAAATTACAATGGGCATAATACAATGAACAGGACAACTAACATCAATTTTACAAGAGGCAAGAATCCAATTTCTAAAATCTGCAATATTTTATATGTTATGACTTTTCACATGCGAATTCTCTATATTCTAGAGACACTGTTAGGAACTGCCTAACACAGGGTTCTACTGAGGAACCACCTCCTGAGAGAAGAGAGAGAGAGAGAGTTGTGAATGCCTTCTCCGTTACTTCTGATTGTATTTATAACTGCGGTTGTTACATTTGTTACAATTCTTGAAAGTTGTGGGGCTGTTACAGTCTGTTATAATCTTGGAAGCTAACTCCCACTTCTTGTTGCCTTCGGTTATGCCAACCTGTCATTACTTGGACCTGAGAGCTGATGTGGCTTCCTTCTTTTGTAGGTTCAGGTTCCACATGGTGTCCCTTTTTTACCCAGTGAAAATCAATAGTGCACCGGGGTTCTATGACTAAGGTCATATCTTCAGTAAACTCAGGTAGAGTGAGCTGACTTACTACATTAGGCTTGAGCCCCTTCTTCAGAACTGAAATGTGGAATACCAGGTGAATTTTTGAGTGTACCGGTGGCTCTAAGCGGTAGGCAAGCTTGCCTATCCTTTTGACGGCCTTGAAGGACCCAAAGTAGCGTGGAGACAGCTTATTCCAGCGTTGTTGTCTTACTGATAGTGAGCGGTAGGGCAGCAATTTCAGATATACAAAGTCACCCACTTGATATTCCACTTCTCAGTCGTGTTTTTCATAGGCATTCTTCATCCACTATTGCACTCTGTCCAGGTTATGTTTGACCTCTTGTAGAGTAGCATCCTGTTGGGTCAATGCTTCCTCCAACGAAGCCACCGGGGAAGACCCCTTTTGTAAGGCAGTAAGGCGGGAGGGTCTCGACCATATAAGACACGGAAGGGTGGCATGCCTGCAGCTACATGATAGGTGGTGTTATACCACCATTCATCCCAGTGGAGCCATTGGGTCCAACGTTTGGGTGTGGACCCTGTAAAACAACACAGGTAAGTCTCCAAGCATCTGTTGACTACCTTAGTTTGTTCATCCGACTGAGGATGGTAGCTAGTTGATTTCCTTAGCTGAACACCCTGTATCCGGAATAGTTCCCTCCAAAATGTACTAACACAAGATCCCTATCTGATAAAATAGATTTGGGGAATCCATGAAGGTGTGCTATCTCCCGTACAAAAACATTGGCCACCATTGCGGCTGTGAATGGGTGTGTTAATGCCACGAAATGACTGCATTTGGTGAGACGGTCTACCACTACCAAAATCACTGATTTACCTGCTGAGGTCGGAAGCCTAGTAATGAAATCCATTGAGATGTCTTCCCAAACTTGGGCGGGAACCAGAAGCGGTTGGAGTAGGCTTGCTAGAGATTGGGCCTCGTATTTGCATTGTTGACAAACCATACAGCTTGCAATGTACTTCCGGATCGTTCTCACCATTCCCTTCTAGTAGAATTGCGATGCAACGCATTTGTATGTTCGAGGTACCCCTGAATGACCCCCTATAGGTGACGCATGGAAGTAATCTAACAATGGGTCTATATGGGCTGAGTTGGCTGGTAGCACTAATCTATTTTTATGATAAAGCAAGGTCCCCTTGACCATGT